AGATTAGAACTAGTCATAGTTAGGATCTATAAATAGGGATGCTCCCTCATTGTTTTTTATGTCTTGGAATGAGTTGAATAGAAAAGAACGTTTGTTCGAAACCGTGTGTTAGGATTCGTGAGAGTTCGATCATACAAATCGAACTGATGAGGCTAAGACCCGAGCCAGTTCAAAGTAGAGTGAGCGAGGCTAATTACCGAGTGAACTCAAGTATCATGAGAGAGTTAGGCTAATAACCGAGTCGATCACACCTATCGTTGAGAGCAAGGCCGTGACGAAGTTGTGTTCGAGACAAGCGAGTGGAATGAAACACACGATCCTTCATCATTGGTGCTTTCATTGAGAGTGATTGATTGTGTGTTACGTTAAACTTTTCCTATCCCATTCTTTTTCTTTTGGTCCGATTTTTTGTTCCTTTTTGTTCGAATTTTTTCGAATTTTTCTCCAAATTTTCGAAAAAGTTTCGTGGGTTTTTAAAAAAAAAGTGTCATCTAGTCTTTTGATTCTTTTCTCCCTTTGGTTCGAATTTTTTGAATTTCTTCTTCTTTTTTTTCGAAAATTTTTAGAGTCTTAAAAAAAAAAAGAGGGTCATGACGAATCGTGAGAGGTTCGATATGCTTGAAGAAAGCGTGAGGTCCCTTGGCAACGAACAACACGTGGTCAACGAGAACATGGCAAAGTTGGAGCTCATGATACACGACTTGACGGGAAAACTCGAGAGAGTCACCCACCACACGCGGAGGAGCCGCACATCGAGATCAACCTTGGCGGGAACGGGCAGTTTGACGTCCAGTCGCGATGACGACGACGAACAGTCACAGGGAACGCGCGTGATGCGCGCTACCCGACACCACGGGGATCGGAGGACGCACGACCATCGGCATCATCGCGAGGAGCGTGCACATGCGAGGCCAAAGATCACGATGTCGACGTTCGAAGGAGTAGATCCGGATGCATGGTTAAGTCGTGCCGTGCAATTCTTCGAGATCAATGAGGTACAAAAG